ACAGCCATCCACAATACCCGCATTTGTGCTGAAAAGATTCAAACATGCAATGTAGAAAATAATGCATTATGATGTTCATATTGCTCAAAATTCTCAAAAATTCATGCATGTAAAACAAGAAATCAATATATGTTAAATATTAGAGAAAAAGAAAACAGATTTCAAATGCAAAAAGTACGAAGACCTACTATAGGGAGATTGCAATTATTTTCAATATATTGCCATCTATTGGAAACACTCTCGAGAACTAAATCGATAGGTACGTTAGTAAAAAGTGAAATAACATCAAGAGATAATAATTTGTAGTCATTATGGATGTAAATATCTGAAATTTTGTTAACCATTTCGAAACTATTTTTTATGTGGTTATTAATATAATGTATAACTTATGTTTTATGTATTAATTCTTGCTGTTTCCTTTTGTTTGATACATATATATAAATTCTTCAAATCAGTTTTAATCAAGAGACACGGTAGTGTCTCGCGACCAGTTAAGGGCGTAGCCGAGACACCGTGTATCTTAACGCGAGTCGGACATTTGAGTCTTTATAATATTTCGAATTCTCAATAACGGCTGAAGCAATCGAGTTTATACTAGACTTAATCGATAGATTGAGTTTGAATTATATAATAAAAGTGTCTTTATTTCTGCTCTACGTGATTTGTAAGCAGAGATATATAATTGCAAAGTCGAAATATGAAAAATTTCTTTTAAGAAACGTCCCCGTCATCATTGTCATCATCGACCACGCAAACATAGTAGTATCGTGCTACACGTATTCACACGTATACAACACATGCGCACACATATATCACACGTACATAACACATAAATAGATGCATGTATTGGAAATGTCCATCTCGCACGTTTTACAACAGACGGCGATAGTTGCCCTCCGCTATATTGACAGCGTGCGGGGTTAGATATTTTCAATTCAATCAATCAACGTGCGGGGTTAGATATTTTCAATTTCAATTTTTACATTCAATTTTAATGTTATTATTTGCAAATTTATGGTCATAATATTTCAATAATATTTCAATTATATAAATGCCTATGTATGAGTATGCATATATTTTTAATAATAGTTGCCCTCCGCTATATTGACAGCGTGCGGGGTTAGATATTTTCAATTTCAATTTTTACATTCAATTTTAATGTTATTATTTGCAAATTTATTGTCATAATAATTTATGTGCAAGTTTACAGTCTGTGATACAAAATCAGATATTTTGCTATTATTTCAATAATATTTCAATTATATAAATGCCTATGTATGAGTATGCATATATTTTTAATAATTTTCTTAATTAGCTTCTATATTTTTTTCAGTTGTACATCAAGCAGGTAGCATTATCAGCTCACTTGTGAGCATGGGTTGGGCAATGGCTAGTTATCATCGCAGCATTCGATTAGCTTAACAAGATAAATCTAATATCAGTGCTATAGGAACTATTTTACAATTTTTCTGGCATTTTCTTATTGCAGGTACATATATATCCAATAATTAATATACAAAATTAAATATTATTCATCACACACTTTGTATCAAAATAATATATTTTTTAAAATTTATTTTAAATTTATTTAATCATTTTTATCATTGTGATTGTAGTGGCAAGGATCTTATTGCTCAGTGTCATTGCAAGCATCTGGCCTGTATATACCATAATATATTGTGTAATACATTGGCTAAGTATGACAATATAGATTTTGATAGATTCCCATGGAATATTGGAATTTTGTCGGACTTACAGTCATCCACCACATATGCAGCCTACAATTAAAGAACGCATTTATTCCATATGATTTGCTTCCGTTATTGGAATATTTAAAATAAAAATTTTATTAATAAATTTCGATGAAATAATTTATAAGAGGTTGAAGAAACTATGAAACAAATTCAGTCTCATAAAAGGGTAGTTGGAACAATAGTGGTGAATGCAGAAGGTATTACATGAGATCATTGACATGATTTACTTGTAGTTGTAAACAAAAATTTATAAAATTATATTTGTTTTAGGTATTCCTATAAAGTCAACATTAGATAATACGACAACAGTTCAATACGCAGGTTTGATAAGTCAATTGTCAGATAAAGCTCGTTCTGTCGTACGTGACTTGAATCCAACAAATGATTTAACTTTCTTGCGCATACGTAGCAAAAAACATAAAATTATGATGGCACCAGATAAAGAATTCATATTAATAGTAGTACAAAATCCAGTTGATTGATATTTAAAAGAAACAAAAATATATTTCAAAGTTAAGATTTATTTTTTTGGTTGTTAATTTAATCTGTATGCTACATTGGATGTTAATATCTATTCAATTAAATAAAGAAAAATAAAAGAATAAAGCTTAAAAATTATACAAAATGCAGTATTTAATTACTAATTTAACAAATTATGAACTTTTAGAGTTTTTAAATAGTGCTTTCTTCTTTGGTAACAATATTATATTTTTAAGTTTGATAATTATGAAAATATGTATATATAGTAATTCATGGCATGTTTATTTTTGTATTTAATACAATTATAAATGTACATTTCTCATCAATAAAATATCACAGTATCTTTTTTATAATTTAATTTTAATATTGAGATTGTTTTTATTCAGTGGAAAAAAAATGTGTAGTTGGTCCCTATTAATTATACATACATATAAGAGTGTCGCACAAATAATTCTATGCAGTCTTTTTAAGATAATATAAAAATACTTATAAATATAATCAATTAAAATACATATAATCAAAATTGTATGTATTAAAATTCAATAGCATATAAAAAAGATTTTTTAAAATTATATATATATAATAAAAATCCAACATTTTATATATATATATATATATATATATATATATAAATATATATTTATTTATTGTATATCATAAATATATATTTATTTATTTATATTTACCTATCTTTTTTTTATATATATGGTAGAAATACAATGTATGAGTTATTTTATTTTGCAAAATTTTTGAAAGTTAAACTATTAATTACAATGAAATTATTTCATATAATACCGAGATTCTTTTCATAATAAAGATTAAGAGAGAGTTAGATTTTATCATAAGATTTATAAAAGTCATAAGATAAGGTTAATTGCATATTGTATAGTTTATCTCTCATTTTTTAAAGTAAATAAATATCAAAGTTACATTGCTTGAACTGGTGCGTTTGAAGTATGTTGTCTTTTTGAGGGATGCAAGACAATATAGTACAAAAGCATTGCTGTAATTCCCAAGAAAAAGGAAATGATACAAATAATAAAGATTATATTAAAGTACTAAGCCTCTTTAACTGCAGGAGGACAAGCATATTGCCATAATAAATTTGCTGCAATATTTTCAAAAAAGCAGATAACATAGAAAGATAGATGTTTTCAAAATGTTTTGCTATCTACAGCATTGAGATATATAAAAATGTGCACTATGCCAATAACGGAAGCAAATAATATGGAATAAATGCGTTCTTTAATTGTAGGCTGCATATGTGGTGGATGACTGCAAGTCCGACAAAATTCCAATATTCCATGGGAATCTATCAAAATCCATATTGTCATACTTAGCCAATGTATTACACAATATATTATGGTATATACAGGCCAGATGCTTGCAATGACACTGAGCAATAAAATCCTTGCCACTACAATCACAATGATAAAAATGATTAAATAAATTTAAAATAAATTTTTAAAAATATATTATTTTGATACAAATTGTGTGATGAATAATATTTAATTTTGTATATTAATTATTGGATATATATGTACCTAAAATAAGAAAATGCCAGAAAAATTGAATTTGCTTATTTATTTAAAGATGCTTATCATATACAAAAATGAATGATATAATCTCTAAAAACTCACCTTTAAAAAAAGGTAAAAAAAGGCGACCAGTTAAGGGCACGCCATTAACAAAAATTATCCATTGCAAACCCATGTACAATAGAATTGTATGAAAAATTATCGATTATAAACCCATGTACAATCGTAACAAAAGTAATGAAATAAAAAAAAAATTGCGCCAAGTGAAAGTAGAAACTTGTACCAGTGGAAAATTAAAGTTGCAGACATATATAGAGTCGTATAATGAATCAATAAAAATTTAAATTTGCAAATGTAGAATTGTACCATAAAAAAACTTATCTTTTAAAAAAAAAGATAAACAAGATGCCAAGTCCATGCGCCATGTGAAAAAGTGTTAAACAAAAAAGTATTTTTAAGTAAAAAAATCTATCAATTGACAAAAATTTATGTTCTAAAATTAATATCTCTACAAAAAGTAATGTCCAATTATTGCGCGAATAAATAAACATTTTTATAAAAAATTAAAATTTAAAAACTTATGCAAATTTAAAATTAATATAAAATAAAAAGAAATAAAAAAATTTTAGTTAAAAAAACTGGGCGCGCTGCTAAATAATATTCTAATGATATTAAAATTAAATTGTTACTTTTAAACTCATTGCAGCGCGCCCAGTTTTTTTAACTAAAATTTTTTTATTTCTTTTTATTTTATATTAATTTTAAATTTGCATAAGTTTTTAAATTTTAATTTTTTATAAAAATGTTTATTTATTCGCGCAATAATTGGACATTACTTTTTGTAGAGATATTAATTTTAGAACATAAATTTTTGTCAATTGATAGATTTTTTTACTTAAAAATACTTTTTTGTTTAACACTTTTTCACATGGCGCATGGACTTGGCATCTTGTTTATCTTTTTTTTTATAAGATAAGTTTTTTTATGGTACAATTCTACATTTGCAAATTTAAATTTTTATTGATTCATTATACGACTCTATATATGTCTGCAACTTTAATTTTCCACTGGTACAAGTTTCTACTTTCACTTGGCGCAATTTTTTTTTTATTTCATTACTTTTGTTACGATTGTACATGTTTATTATAATCGCCTTTTCACTTTTGTCAAGCGGGATCTACAATGGCAGCAGGAATACAGAGTACAAGAGTAAGCAGTAAGCAGTACAAAATGGGATTAGCTCATTCCGTTACTCCCGACGAAATGAGCGAATCCCATTTCGTACTGCTTACTGCTTACTCTTGCACTCTGTATTCTGCTGCCATTGTAGACCCCGCTTCAATATACCTAAGTCAAATATAAAATCAAATTATTTCATTGGCTCCGCCATATTCTTGGAAAGTCAGCTATTAACCAATCCCGACGTTATAACCAGTTCACATGTCTCTTAAACTAACTTTTCATGATGACGCTGAAAATAAGCGTCGAGCGTCACCATGAAAACTCAGCTTTTAAGGCCTGAGCACAAATTGCTAAACAAGTTGTTTTATTCGAGTGTGCAACATAGTTAGAAATTTATGTATAAAATGGCTGTAAAAGAAAAACAAACGGATCCCTCTTCGTTCGAGGAGATAGAATGGAACGTAGAAAATGAAATTCAGCTTTTCTTCTCCATGAATGGCCACAAACCAGTCGGTAAGACGCGAAAGCCGGCGATTTCAGGTTATATTTACTATTATTATTTACCACTCACATGCAGATTCTCAATTGCAATTTAATGAATTGTTCTCAAGGTGTCAACAAATATTTTCACATGGTGTGCATATGGGAGAAATTTCGCGCTGCCATTCACAAGGATGTGCCATTAAAAATGATTTGGGATCATTTGGAATCTATGTACGATCTTATGGCTTTGGTAAGCATTGATTTATACATATAGAAATGAAAAAGTTTAAATGAATAAAATGTTTAGAGCAGTGTATTATATTTAAATTAATTTAAATTATATAACAGTAGAAAAATTTAAATTAAATATTTTTACTGTTATATAATTTGTACTGTATAATTTTTAATAAAAAGTATATTTTATATATATATATATTTTGTACTGTATAATTTTTAATAAAAAGTATATTTTATATATATATATATATATATATGTATGTATATGTAAATTTTTTTTATAGGATGACATGGAAGATTTACCTTTTCCAAGTCAAGAGATGGATTTTTCTCTACCAGAGACCGAATTTGTAGGAAAGCCTCGAAAAAAGGAGGAATTAGAGATAAAACTGAAGGATCAGAGAGATAAATACAAAGAGATTAAGAAGGAAAAGGATATTAAGGAAAGTTTGAAAAAGGAAGGTGTACTGCGTGATTTTAAAGGAAGCAAAGACATGGAGAAAAAGAAGGAAGAAATAAAGAAGTATGTGAAAGAAATGGAGATCAAGAAAGATAAATTTAAGGATGCAAAAGATACAAGAAAAGAGCATAAATCCTCAAAAGGTCGCTCAAAGGGCAAAGACGATTCGGAAGAAAGTGGTAAAGGATATTTTTTAATTTCACTTATTTAGCGATCTATCCTAAGTAATGAATATATTATATATTATATTTTAATATATATAAATTTAATATAAAATATATTAATATAATTTAATAAATAAATAATTAATTTAATATTTTTAATAATTATATTTTTTTAAGCATCAAATGGAAAGAAAGAACGCAAGGATTCAGAGTCCGGTCGTGAGCTCTTAAAAAGAATCCCTAAGAGGCCAACCAGGCAAAGTGTAGACAGTTCTTCTAAAGCTTCTTCCAGTCCATGCGATACACCTCCACCGAAACGAAGAAGGATATAACAGTTATCGTAAATGTCGACACTCACATTTATGTTTCATGTTAAGCCCGAGTTGTGTAATTTTCATATGTAGCTATTATACTATGTTGTATTTTAACAATATGGACATGTATGTATATATATAAGGAACCGTTTAAAATTTTTATAAGATTGTATAGGCACTATTTCTTAAATAGATCATATTTTCTAAACATCTTTGTCTTTTAAATGTTTCATACTCAAATGAAGGAAGAGAGAATAGAAAATTTACTTTTAATATATAATATAAATAATGTAAAATATATAATATAAAGAGAAATAATGATTAATTCAGAAAAGTATGTAAAGAACTCTAAATTTTATATAATTTTTCTACTTCCCGATATATCAAAAATTTGTTGAACACATCTTTTGTAATTCTTATTTGTTCTAGAAAATATATATTTTTTATATTAAATATAGAAACTAATTCATGAGTTATATCATTATTTGAAAAGAAATTTAAAATAAAACATGACAAATTACATTTATATAAATAGTATAATAAATATATAATATAATAATATATAACATAAAAAGGAATGATTGAAAAGTAAAACATTGAATTTTATATAATTTTGTCCTATTTCATATCATTTTTCCACTTCCCGACACATCAAATTTATTGAACACACTTTCTGTAATTCTTACTTGTTCTAGAAAATATATTTTTTATATTAAATGTAGAAACTAATTGAGTTATATCGTTATTTTAAGAAGAAATTAAATAAAACACAACAAATTACATTTTTAGTGATTCATTCACCACTGATTTTACAAATTAAAATTGTGACAAGGAAAAACGCAAGGACAACATCAAATAAAATTTGTGGTTACCAGCCAAGATTTATTGAAAAAATCGTGGAATTTTCATTGTTAGGAATGTTTGTCAAGAGCAGAATATACGATCTCGTTTCAACAGGCAGTTTTCGTGAGACACGTGACAGAGGTGCTCAGCATCATCTTCAGCATCATCTTCAGCATTATCTTCAGCATCATCATCATCATCATCAGCATCAGCATCATCATCATCATCATCAACATCATCATCAACATCAACATCATCAGCACCAACATCGATGGCGACGGAGATCCATGCGTCGAGGGAAGTCCTTCAGTATCATTTTCAGCATGACTCTTCAGTATCATCATCGATGATGACGGAGATTCATGCGTCGAGGGAAGTTCTTCACGCAGAAAAATCCTGATGCTGAAGTCCTGTAGGCGATGGCTGGCGACCGTTTTTTTTTCAATAATATCAGTTAAAGGTGAATTATCGAAGCCTTCTGGCCTCGCGTTCGGACTCGAGCAAGGTTAAGAGATCGCCTTCTCGCACCGGTCCCTTCACGTTCCTGATGATCTGTCGATTCTGCTCGCCCAGGAACTCCACCTTCACCTGGGTGCACTGTCCCTGCGAGCCGGTGCGGCCCAGGACCTTGATTACGCGCGCCAGAACGACTGGTTTATCCATATTTGATATTTTACTTCTCTCACGTGGCTCGCGAACGAAGTGTCTAAATGCAAGTGGAAGAGATTGCGCGTTAAATGCGCAGAGCTGCGGAAACTCTCCGTTCACTTCCGGTGAGTCACTACTGTTCAATAGGAGATATAGCTGCGTTATTTCGAAATTCAATTGTAAGCACTGGAAATCTTATAATATAGTGCTGATTTTATATTTTTTGCCCCTGTAGATTTATTTTATTTTTATTTTCAGTGACTACAGATTTTTAGATTTTTATTTTCTTTTACAGGGTGTCCAATTTTAATAGATCACTCCCAAAAGTTTGTTATTTATTTTTAATTGCACAGCAAACTCAAATAGCAAAATGACAATAAATAACGTCATTTTGACGTTTAATGACGTCAGTTTATTGTTACTTGGGAAATGTTTTAAACAAAAGTTGTGCAACACTTGTTTGAAATATTTTGTTGTACAATCAAAAATAAGTTTTTAGGGATGGTCGATTAAAATTGGATATTCTGCATATTATTTATTATATATATATATAATCGTATTATGTAGGTATATAATATATTTTGAAATATTATTTATTATATATTAATATTTTATTTTTATATTAAGTATAAAAAGTGATGAAATTTTGATTTCTTATACCTCATACATACATAAGAAAGAATTCAATGTTGATGCATAATCAGATTTAATTTAATTTTGCATTTATATATCTCTTTTTTTACATTCTTAAATAGAACTTACACATTTTGTAGCATTCTGAAAAATCACATTTGAATTTTCTTACAAAATTTAAGGATTTGTAATTAAAAATATACAGTAATTGCTTTGTGAGAAATTTCGAAAAATTATTTTTTCGAACTCTAACAATTTTTAATTAGAAATCAATCAAAACATCTCAGAATTATTAGTATTAATGTATGTACCTCTATGTGAATTTTTAAATAAAATATCGTAAATATTACAGTAATAATTAATTATCGAGAAAAATTGTTTCAATCATTGTCATAATAATAGTCCTATTCTATGCTTTATTCAACTAAAATACATGTGTGATATCATGTATTTATATTATCTTGCATTTATATATTTATCAATAATACAGAATAAATGTGGACACATATTGCACACGTGTCGATTATATCTTAAAAATACAATGAAGATTCAAGTCTTTTTACATCTCTGATAAAACTTGTGTATGCATATACATATATATATATATATATATATATATGTATATATATCTCTATTTGAATCAGAACTTGAGATTTGATATAATTTTAACAAATTATAAATTATTGATGCTATTCGATGCGAGAATACATATACTTTATGTCAATTTCTCCCTCTCAATGTTTCTATTTTTGTGAATAAATTCACGAACACACTTTTGCATAGCACGAATAGCAACGAAATCTTAGCTAAAATTATATCATTTTCCATCACCGATTTGAATTAATACTAAGTTGTGATGAAAATGGACCCTGACATATACTTCAATCGCAATTACAAAAAGCTCTTATTTTAGTAGCATAATTTTGTACCATATAAGGTACATATATAGTGTCGCTACTAACTAAATAACTTCTCTTACAATCAGTCAAAGATCTATTTTATTCCAATCATTTTCATCCAACAATAACATTAAAAGCTAGCACAGGCTTCCGAAGAAATATTTATCAACTCAAAGCACTATACACGTTCACGAATCATGAAACAGTATTCGAGTAATTTTCTCTTTCTTTTTTTTGTTCCCATTTCTATGCTTTCATCGGTTCTATCACTATCTAAAGCAACATCCGATGAAGAAACATGGAAATGTTATGATGGATAATAGACTGTCGACATTACAACACTGAACAAGATAACAAAGGTTCACAATATTTGCAATAAATTTTTACTGCCACAAATTAGTGGAAAGAGTCTGTCCGGGTAACGCAGTGGCATTGGCAGGTTTGCCTGTCGTAGAGGAAAAATTCATATCACCCATAGACATTTGCGACATTTGTTGCGGCAACTGAAATGTCATTACAAATTATTTAAAAGTAACACATTGACATTTTATCTAATACAGATATTACAACATAGTATATACATATTAATATTATAATATATAATATTTAATATATATTATATTATATTTAATATATATTATATAATATATAATATTTAATATATATCATATTATATTTTAATTAAATATACATATATATATATATATGTATATTTTAATATATTATATTATAAAATATTTATATATATACATATATATTAATATATAACATATATTTATATTTGGATATTCATTTTCAATGCACACATATGCAATCATGTAACACAGAGCGTCTCAAAATATTTGTTATTACATACTTGAGCATTGAATGCAGCAGTTTGTTGTTGCTGTGCTGTTAAATTAAAGAAAGGATTGCTGCCAGGAGCTGGCTGAAGATTTTGCGTCAACATACCGCTCCATCCATTATTACTAGTAATACTAGTTTGTCCTAATTGCATCATCTATAAAATATAAGAAAAAGTTGAAAATTTTCTAAATTTTACATTAAAAGTTAGAATAATTACACATAGTCAGCGCAATAAAATATAAAAAATATACAGGGTGAGGAAAAAGTATGAGACTAGTAAAACATCATTCTTTCCGATATTTATCAGTCTCATACTTTTTCTTCACCTTGTATAATATATAAACACACAAAGCTTTATTTACCATTTGAGGTGGCATCGTCATAGCAGCATTTGGTACACCATTTAGTTGATTTATTTGCCCTAGATGTAAGCCTAAAGGATTGGCTGCTACCGCACCTATCGAACTAGGATTCGTTATAATTTGATTTTGATTAACAAGCATCTGATTTGTGACCGGCATTTGTGTAGAAAGTTGGCCGATTTGACCTAAAGAACTTTGTTGTCCAAACGTATTCACATTTGACATTTGCTGTTTATATGGTATAGAATGTTGAGAATACACTCCTCCTGAAATATATGTAAAGAAAAACGCAGTGCGTATTAATTTTTGAAATTTATCAATATTTCTTCGTCGCACGCGCATTACCTGAAACACCATAAATCGATGATTGATGACTTGGTGTACCATATAATGCTAAAATACTGTCCTTTGTCATTTTGCTTTTTTCTTGAGATAGCGGCGCTGTTTGTTCAAAGAAACTTTCCTCTTCGGTTTTAGCGGTTGCTTTACTTCCATTAGAAACGTCATTTCCAGTTGTGGCTGTCGAAGCAGGTGGCGCAGACAAGAAGGAAGAAAACACGTCGTCTCCAGAACCATTTACATTTATTTGGTTGGTTGCTGGCGCATCTATTAAGGTATTGATGTAAATAAGATATTTATATTCCAAAAATTATATAATTATATAGTAAATTATATATACATAAAAAATGAAAAAACACACCAAGACCTAGGAGATCCAGAATTGCAGAACTTTCTTTTGTTCTACCAAGTTTAGGACTGACGGAACTGCGAGGTTTTGGCAATTGAGGCACTACTTCAGGTTTTTTTACAAGTGGGAGTACAGTTGTCGCAGCTTCGGAACTCTCCTTTTTTCGCCTGCGTTGTCTCTCAGCTTCTTCATCAAGTTCTTTATCCCAATTGACCTAGCAATTGATGGCAATATTTCCAATTTAAACTCACAAATACACCCTGATATAGTTTTGCAGATATAAAATCAATATTGCATACAAATATTTATATGATATAATTTATATACAGCAAATAAATAATGTCACTATTTACAAAGCAAAACATTACAAAGTTTTCTTTATACATATTACATATTTTTATATATATATATACATATTTAATACATAACTTATACATATTTAATACTTATATTTTAATCAAAATTATATGTTGAGAAGCAAATAAGATTAAAGTAGATATGACAATCATACCTTCGGTAAAGGAGGTGGCACCCATTCTCTGGCTATGTACTTTTTGTGTTCATACTTTGCTCGAATAAAACTTTCAAGACTACAATCCGTTTGCGGTCTTCGGAAACTGTCTGGAAGATTTGCCTCATAGACTGCTCTGGCTCGGGAATTACCCATTTGCTGTAAGCTCTAGAAATTAAAAGCACAAAGATTCATAAATAAAAACAGAATAAAATATTTAAAAGCTTCAATAGTTTTTATTTATTTTGTAGAAAATACACATAATTGTCTATTTAAGAAAATATATAAATATAAATATTTAAAAGAATACTAATTAATATTATATATATATATATATATATATAATTTTATAAATAATATTATAACAATAAAATTAAAATTCTTAAAATATAAATGTTATTAAAAACTGACTAACTTTTCTGTAAAAACAATTAGAACTTTATAACATGATAAATATATAATTTATAAAATTATATATTTTAGATACTTTTCAATACAAAACTTTAATAAATAATAAAAATATTATTCTTTTAAAAATGTTACCTATTATCTTTAAAAAAACTAAAATGTATATATAATATACATATATATATATATATATATATATATATATATATATATATATATATATATATATATATATATATATAATATAGTATACATACTACTACTTGTTCTGGTGTCCATGTGTCTAAATTAACAGACTTCACTTTGCTTATATGCACGCCAAGATTTCTGTGTATACCAGCACATCGAATACACAAGAAAATTCCCAAGTTCCAGCTGGCCCATCTTGGTCCTGTAAAATATAATAATACATATCTAGGATATAAAAAAATATTTTACCTCTCATCTAAATTTGGAATTTAATTAAAGACTTGATGTATAAAAGAAGCAAAAAGATAAATAACTATAGATTTTTATTAATAGCTATCAATACAAGTGTTCTGTCAACCAATTGAGCCATTTATTTATACATATGTAACAAAATACATACACACATTTGCGACTGTATTATGAGCTTTAAATCATGATAACATAAATGACAGATCTTATTAAAAATGACTATATATTTTTATCAAAATTTAATTATCTATCAAGAAAAGAGAGAGGGAGGGAGAGGGGAGAGAAAAAGAAAAAGAGGCATGTTCTCATTTTTTGAGCCAAAATTCGAGCAATAAGTAAACCTGGAAGACGTTTCGACGACGTTAAAGACGAGCTTAAAAACAGTGCACTGACAGCACGGAAATTAAAAATCCATAACGCGTTGACGTTTCGTGGCCTACGTCATTCCACGATTTACGCTGATAAATGTCGATTTTAAGAGATACACAAATACACATACAAATGCGATAAAAATTATACACACAGTACAAAGCACTGAATATTTCCTGAAGATTTGAGAATAACGACTCTGACGTGAGTCAGAAATAAGCGTAAGAAGGTACAGGATAAGCGATAATGTTACTTCTTGTCAGACGAACCTTTCGCGTCACAGTCGACGCAGTACTTGTTATCCTCGTCGCGGAGCATCTGTGTCAGCAGGTTTTGACACTTTTCCTGAATCTGCTTAGCGCGCTCCTTCTCGTGACGGGATGTCATTTTTGCCGAGAGCGTCTTCGCGAAATCACAGTGTCACAGTCACGGAAGACCACGCGCGATCGCGAGAGCCTTCAGCAGCTCCGGTGTCGCCTCCCCGCGATAAACGCTCGACCCCGCTAGAGATTCTATTAGTTTCAGCTGCGGCGCGGCGATCGCGCGATCATCGAAGAGGGAGCACATACTTTTCCATAAAGGTGCCTTTTCACGAGCCGCTAAAACCGATTGTTTGAGCGACAAAATGATCACGTAACAACTTTTGTCGCTGAATTAAGGGTCGGCAGGCGACATGGTGGAGACGCCTATCGGCCGGCCGGGAATTAGAGATTCTTATATTCCAGATATTAGCGAAACTACTGAATGAATCTTATTAAATTTATGATATTCTTAATCAGTAAGCTCAAATGCAGTCCGCCAAAGAGTTATTTATTGAAAAAAAGATGAAAATAAAATTTATAATATAACTTGGGGGAATGCGCAGCTAGTAACGGGTAAGGTTGGGTTAGCCAGGAGTCCGTATTTTATTTATTATAAATTTTTCAGAGCAAAAATGCAAAATCCGACTCTTTGGCGGACTACTTTATTATATCAAGAATATATTAAAAAAAAAAAACCAAAGTTATGTCACTTATTTTATGAAATATCTGGACTATAAGATTCTCACTAGATTCATAAGGAGCAGGGGAAATTTCCGTGGTAACATACTGACAGCTAACAGCTTGACAAGGAGAGACTATCATTCTGTCCTTGTCTCTCTTACATCGCATATGTGGTAACATCCATGTAGACACAAACACTAATGCGTTGAACGAATGCGATTATTGGGAGATATCAGCAAGAACCGGTTTTCGTATTATCATTGTTTCTCTGTATATGTATATTATATGTAAAAGAACAATAAGAATAGCAATAATTCTTGCCTAACATTATCTTCCAATTATCGTTTCGTGTACGCAATATATATTTCACATTATGCATCTGTAACAAATAATCGAATGATTTATTTAAATATTTGCATATAATCTATATAAATCTATATAATAAATAAAATGTGTAATAAATTATCGAATGATTTATTTAAATATTTGCATATAATCTATGTAAATAAAATATGTACAAATAAAATAATATTTATGCAAATATTATTTTATTTGTGTACATATTTTATTTATATACCCAAACAACACCAAGTCCAAAATTGGCGCGTAAGATATCTTTAAGATGTCTTTTTGATATCATATCATAAAATAGCTGTCTTAAAGATTTCTTAATGCTATCTTATGCGTCAATTTTAGACTTGGTGCTGTCTGGGTAGATAATATGCAAATTAATATGCAAATAATAAATCATTCGATATAATTTGTTACAGATGCATAATGTGAAATATATATTGCGTACACGAAACGATAATTGAAAGATAATGTTAGGCAAGAATTATTGCTATTCTTGTTCTTTTACATATGTGTGTGTGGGTGTGTGTGTGTGTTTACAAAAATGTAGATTATTTCACATTATGTGTTTCAAATTATTATGATTTATATATTTGTAAATAAATCTATATAAATAATTAAATATTTATGTACAAATAAAATAATATTTATAAATATTTTATCTATCGAACCTCTAAAGACTTTGTATTAGTAGTATAAGGAAACGTGCAAAAAATATTTTCAATTTTTTAATTTAGTTTTTTCAATAAACTGTTTATAGGTTCGACCTTTTATATATTTTTTATATAAACTACAAGAAGTTTTATTTTGAGCCGTCGTAGCACTTTTTATCACATCCCAATTTAAAGCTATATATTTTACGGAAAAGTATCTAAAATGCCCTTTTTTGCATCTTTAGATCAAGATATCTAAAAAACGTGACGTGATACGCAATTTTTGCGGCCGAATTTGTAATCGGCATGAAAAAAATCTACAAAAATACGCTTTGGAAATCTTCGAACCTGAAAAAAGTCATTTTTTGTCGACCAGTGTTATTGATTGAAGCATAGCACAAACTGAACATTTTATATTGTATACATTGTCTGCATAATATTTTACTTATTTATAAAATATATAATATATAAGTTTATATATATGCACACACATAGATATGACAATAGCGTTATCGTGATTTTTTTCGATTATTGAAGTTGTATTGTATAATCTCTCTCTTATCTCTTTCTCTCTGCTACATAAATACTATTATAACGTAAAAGAACTTACGAGTAACGTATGATGGCTCAATGCAATAATATTCAATCACGTAAAAAACTTGAGTTCAAATATATCAATATCAATTTTTTTACAATATATTAGAATATAGAAAAATTATAGAAATATAAGGCGATAAACTTGAAAATTTTTAAATATTGAAAATATTTTAATCATTTTTACAATTACATACACTATATATATATATATAAATGCAAAATAAGTCCGTAAATAAATTTATCAAGTAATAAATCCGTTGCATGCTTGCAGCTACATATGCATACACAAATAGCTGGTATGTTGATTTTTATTAAAAATTTATTTTCTGTATTATTTTGCATTTATATAGTGTGTATGTGGGTGTGTGTGTGTGTGTGTGTGCGCGCGCGCGCGCGCGTGTAGTAAAAATATTTTCAATATATTTATAAAATTTTTATTGCCGAAATATATTTTTTTATCATTTCTCTGTATTCCAATATATTATTAAAAAATTGATATTGATATATTTGAACTCTAATAATTTACTGGGTGATATACATACTGAACATCCTTTGCATTGATCAATATTACTCGACATAAGTTCTTTTATGTTATAAGTATTTATGGAGCAAATTATACAATAACATCAATAATAGAAAAAAAATCAAGAATAACCATGCATATTCGTCAATCTATGATTGCTATACAAGCTAATAATAATTTATATTCGTTCTCTTATTCTTGTCTCTCGAAAAAGTATAAGCAATAAATTATCAAATCTAACAAGTACCCGTGTCTAACATTGTAGACTAATTTACTTTCAATTATGCTACTGTTATTATTTATCATTAGACAATTATAAAACATATATATATATAGCACTACAAATTATATATGTATATGTTTTATAATTTATTTTATATTTTATTATTTGACAAGTTAAATCTCTCCGAATCATAATTTGCGCTTACATCTTAAAGACGAAATGCTGTAACTCTCTGATATTCCAATCTGTATTTTTGAAAAGGACCACATCCCGTATGGTCGAAACGTTAAAATAAATATATATACAACTTTAATTTGAGGCCAGTGTAGTCAGACCAAATCTATAACCTCTGTTTTATAATTGTCTAATGATAAATAATAACAGTAGCATATATAATTGAGAGTAAATTAGTATATTTTATATATATATATATTTATATATAAATAATATATCCACATATGTGCATAAGCATATATAAAATTTACAAAAATAGGTGCTTATTAGTCTTGCTACGTTACTGCTTTCTGCTACGGAAGGCCAGAAAGCATTTTCAGGCGGCATCTCGCGTATACCGGCACGGTAGTGGAACAAGGAGAACACGTGATTATCGGTCCTTGTCTCTCTTACGTGCGTCCGCGTGAGCGATGCAGTGGTGTATGTACGTGTACAGACATACACCACTACATAAAACCCGAGAATTGGTTTCTCGGCGTTGGCAACACTGAAACCGGAGTTTCGCGTTGTCACCGCACGAGGTCTCCAATATCAATTCAAAGTTTGCCTGGGTGTACTGCCGACCCTTAAGGGTTGACAGCTTAGAACATATAGATATGGAAGGGGAATAGGAGCGCAAAACTGTGTCCAAGTAGAGTGCGAGAGAGAACCACGTTTTTAAGGAAAGAGAAGGGTAGATTGTTACTTCCGTTTGCAATGCGCAAACGCGAATTAGCGAAAGCACCAATTACATTTCCAGTTTCAAACGGCGCGGTGAGCGTGACGTCACCGTGACGTCATCTACGTTTGCGCATTGCGGATAAAGGTTAAAAAAACTATCTTTCTTTCTCGCACCCAACTTGGACACAGATTTTTATCACGGAGGACAAAGCAATTCTTTTTCCAGGTATATATGCTCTAAGGTTGACAGGTCGTCCAGCCAGACTCCGAATTGATGTTGGAAACCTCGCGCGGTGTCAACGCGAAACTTCGGTTTCAGTGTTGCCAACGCTGAGAAACCAATTCTCGGGCTTTATGTAGTGGTGCATGTCTATACACGTACATACACCATTGCATTGCTTACGCGGACGCACCGTAGAGAGACAAGGACCGATAATGACGTGTTCTCCTTGTTCCTCTACCGTGCCGGTATATGCGAGATGCGGCCTGAAAATGCTTTCTGGGTATCGATTCTGTAACTTTTTTTAAAGTGAAAACGTGAAAAATGAAAAATTTCCGCCAATCGCACATCGATTTCATTTTAAAATCAATGCGTGATTGGCGAGAATTTTTCACTTTTCACATTTTCACTTTAAAAAACGTTACAGAATTGATACCCTGGCCTTCCGTAGCAGAAGGCAGTAGCGTAGCAAGGCTAATAAGCACCCACTTTTTGGAAATTGTATATATGCTTATGCACATATGTGTGTATATATAGGTTGTGGATTAACCAATCAACTAACAAGTTGCTTTACTTTCATTGGTCAATCGGCACTTGTCAACTAGCAACGAGGATATTTGCAACCTATTGTAGAATGGCTCTTATGCATATGCTTATGCGCTTATGCAAGAGTGTGTGCTCCCCGCTTAAAAATCTTGATTGGTCTATAAACGTATGCATAAGAAATTCAATCAATCGAATTTTTTATGCATACGCATATGGGTTTATGCAAAAGTGTGCGCTCCCCGCTAAAGCGAGGGAAGGGGGGAGGGAATCCGTAATTCCAGGCCGGCCGATAGGCGTTTCCACCGGGCCTCCTGCCGACTCTTAATGCATCAACAAAATATTACTTTAATAAAAGGATGGCATCAAGCCGCAATCACAGATTAATAGACAGATCGCCAAAGGCCTGCCTAAAGAAGAGACCGCCATCTTCGTGCGATAGACTTTGCCCCTTACCGACACACTTTGCCCCTGGTTCGAGTCCGTGCTAAATTTCGTAGACTTGAACCAAAAGACTTTGC